CTGGGATTAAAGGCCTGCGCCACCAAGCCCGGCTTTTTTTTTAAAAACTAGTTTGTGTGCAGGGTAGAGTGAAACTTGTGGGAGTTGAAGTCAATTATCTCCTTCTACTACGTGAAACTCAGGCCCAAATCAGGCAATGGTGGTAAGTCTCTTCCCTGTTTTTTTTTTTTAGACATAGTCTTGCTATGTAGCCCAGGCTAGCCTAGAATTTGTGGCAATCCTTTTGCCCTGGTCTCCACAGTGCTGGGATTACAGATATGCTCCACCATCTCGCTCTCCCCCTCTCCCCCTGCCACAGTCTCAAAAACTAGGATGCCAGGATCACAGATGACAGATCTTAGGTTCTCTTGCATTTGACGAATCACTTTGCTCTCAAAGCTTTTGAGATTGTCTCACAGTATTTGGTGCTCAACAGTTTGACATCCCTCCCTCCCTCCCTCCCTGCCCCCGTGTGGGTCTCCCTGAGGTTCAGTGCAATTTTCTTCATTCCTTTTTGTGTTCCTTTCATGCACGATCTCAACCATTTTGCATTGCAATTTATGTTTTTCTTTACGAGCAACTGCTGAATTCCCCATTTCATTGCAGACCCAGAAGTCCTGCATGCTTCTTTTTGTGACTCTTCACTGGCATTCATCCTGTGGTGACACCTTCGTCTCCAGCTGTGCCTTAAGTCTGAGCATCATTCAGACAGGCCGCTTGGTACGTCCCCACACACTTTAGTATCTGGGACTCCTCAGGGACAGTCTCTGTCAACAATTTATTCATAGTATGACCATATGGACCGGCTTATCTTTCCATTTTTTTAATGCCTCTTATTTTTTGTCACGGTTAGATATTTAATTAGAATGTGGCACCTATGCAAATTAGACTCGCCCCCAGCCCCAAGGGTTTGTTGTGGGCTGTTGCCACTGTTTCATGACTTTTTGAAACTACTTTTGTGAAGTCCGTATTGTTGAGTGTGTGGTCAGCTAGTGTTTCAACAGTTCCTTTAAATGCCCAAAGCACCCTTCCCCCCACATAGAAAGGAAGGAAGGAGGAGGAGAAAGGGAGGGAGGGGAGAGGACAGGGAGGAAAGGGGAAAGAAAGAAAGGCTGGAAAGCCAGGTACCACTGCATGCACTCATGAACAACAATGGGACAGCTGGAGTGAGGGCACCATTTGACCTGGGAGGTCAAGACCAGCCGGGGTAGCACAGGGAGCCGACAAGATGGACTGACTCAGCAGGTGAAGGTGCTTTGCCATGCTAGCCTGAGGTCAGAGGTGGATCACAGGATCCCACCTTCGAAGAAAAGTGACTCCCACTAATTGTCCTCTGATCTTCACGCACATGTGCATGTGTGTGCACACATACATGCACACATATACACATACATGGAAATAAAATTAACCTTTAAAATTTCATCAGTAAAACATTAACAACAAACAACATGAAATCTGGTCTGTATGGCTTTTATGTTAGTTGTGTTTTTCATTGGCAAAAGCAACTTAAGGAAGGAGGGACTTCTCACTCACACTTTGAGGACACATCGTGATGGTGGGGGTGTGAGGCGGCCGGCCAACACTGCAGTCAGTCAGGAAGCGGAAGCAGAGAGCAAGGAAGACTGGCGCTCAGCTCACTTTCCCTTTGTGTCCAGTCAGGACCTCAGCCCAGCGGATGCTGCTGCCCACAGGGTCTTCCTACCTCGATTAACCCACCTGAGAAACTCCTTCACAGACATGCAGTTTACCCTAGATGATTCCAGAGCCTGTCAAGTTGACAATATTAACCAGCATAGCTCTGAATTTGGAAACTCCTGTATCACAACCTGCTCAGGATGCCTAACTCTCTCTTCCTGAATGCATTCAGCCTACAGGCCAGCTGCAAGTGAAAGCTTAGTCTCAGGGTCTGCTCCGGCTTTTTTGGAGCAAGCAGCTTGCCCTAGGCTGGCATGTGGCCTTCTTGATTTCCTGGTATATACAGAGGCCTTCTTTTTAAAAAAATTATTTATGTGGTGCTGAGGATGGAAAGCCGGGCCTTGCATGTGCTAAGCAAATGCTCTACCACCAACATCCCCCAGTCCGGGGGCTTTTGAAAACCCTTCTTACTGTGTCTCATCTTCCAAATCTCCTTCCATAACGTTTCCTCTTCCATCTTCTGTCAGGCTGCAACAGCCAATGCCTTTGCTTTTACATGGTCTTAGGAAAAGTGCACAGGCCACTCTGCTCCTCGGGGAGTCACCAGCATGGTTAGGGTGGCTGCCACTCTCCCATGGGTACTCCAAGACCACAGCCATGGTTCTTCAGTAACAGATGTGCGCTGCTTGCTCTGGTCCCAGTGGTGTGCCAGCATCATCATGGCTTCAGGCCTCAGAAGGGCCAGCAAGCACACTCCTGGGCTCAGCGGCTTCCCTCTGCCCTACACTTCCTCTGGGCTCTTTCAATCTGTGAGACTCCCAAGCTCTGCAAAAGGCAGTTCTGAAAGTGTCAGTATTTTAAGGGACTATTTATAAAACATTTTATTTATTATTGTGTTTGAGGCAGGGGATTGCATGTGTGTCATGATGCATGTATGGAGGCCAGAGGACAACTTGGTTGGCGTGTGTCCCAGGTATGGAACTCCGGTTGTCAGGTATGGCAGGAAGTGTCTTCACTGGCTGGGCCACCTCTCTAGCCCTGTCAATGTTTTCAGCAGATAATGGTGCCTGAGGTTTCCTACTCTGCCAATGTCCCTCCCAGATTTCTTAAATTTTGCACTCATAGAACTTAGTATGTTTCAGGTGCTGCTTTTTAATCCATCTCACTTTTTTTTTTATATAAAAGAGGGTGAGAGCACAGAATGGTAGTTGGGGCACTTGGTCCACAAGAGCACGTGCCTGCTTTCAGCTCAACTTCCTAACATGGAGGCACATGCTTTTAAATTCCAGAGACCCTGTCAGAAAAACAGCAAACAAAAACCAGATAGTGTTTCTGTGACTTCTAGGGCTAAGAACCTAGACGCTGTTCTGGGGCCTTCCTCTGCACTTTCCGGAGCACATACTCTATACTCCCGTTGTTAACCTTAATCCATACCCTACCTCTTTGGTTCCAAAGCTGCGTTTATCCTCTTTTAGAAAACCTATTAAATATGCCATAGGACATTAGGAACATCCTCTGGAACTGATGGCAGAGACTGTGCTGCAGTGTGTGGAGCAGCTGGTGTTGGACAAGGCACCCGGTGACTGGGAAATAAGAGACAGAGGAGGCAGGTGAGATGGCACAGCAGGTAAAAAGCACCTGCGCAGCAAGGCTGACACCCTGAATTCGATTCTTGGAGCCCACAGTGGAAAGAGAACTAAATGGAAATTTGTTCTCCGACCCCCACAACATGTGTTTGCATGTGCACACATACACAAAATTAGTTTTCTGAAACAGGGTCTTACTAGCCCTTGCCAGTCTGGAACTCCCTGTGTAGACTAGGCTGGCCCGTGTATGTCACCACACCCAACCGTTTCTTTTGAGACAGGGTCTCACACTGTAGTCCCCACTGGACTTGAATACGTGGCAGTCCAGAGTGCTGGTATCACAGGCACGGGTCATTACACCTGATTTGGGGCAGATTTAATATCATGATCCCCCAGAAAAGCCTGCTGCAATCTGCAAGAATCCTAGTGAACAAAACCCATCTTTACTGCGCCCCTTCCCACTTTTAAAGCATGGGTGATGGGTGTCCACACTGCGAAGGCTGTCCTTGAACTCCTGGGCTCAACAGTGTTTCGGCCGAGGCCACTGGGGGTGCAGGGTTTCACTTAATCTTCTGCATTTGCAACAGGAAAAGTTTGCAATTTCATACCGCTTCATGGGTATTGGCATAAATTTTCTGAACAAGGACCCAACCACTTCAGAACGTAAGAATACTTAGCAAGGAACTCGAAGGAGCAAGCTGCTAGCACTAGGTGGCACTGCTCTAATAACCCGAGAAGGGCTGGTGCGCCAGGAGCAGACTCCCGTCTGGACGCGCTGCACCTCGGGGCCGCTGCTCTCCCGTAGGGAGGAGGTCCGGCCGACCCCGTCCGAGACGCATGCAGTGCTGCAGGCTGGCCCGGGGCGGACTCCCGTCGGCGAGGCGCGGATCCGCCCCTCGGGTCTAGCGCTGGAAACTGCTCCGGCCATCGGGGCGGCGGCGGCCCCCCCGGGCAGGGCGCGCGGCCCGGCGGACCCCAGACCCGGGGCTCCCCGCCGAGCGGAACCCGCTCCTCCGGGCGG